CTAATATTATAATACTTAGTTAAGGAATGCATAAAATAAAATGATGTAAAATGTATCATCAAAAATATAAAATGTGTGTGTGTGGTGGGTGGAAGTAAAAAGACAAAATTTTGGAATGTGTTCAAATTTAAGTAGCTACCAACTTAAAACAGGCAACACTCAAAAATGTTATATGTGAACCTCACAGAAACCACAAGGAAAAAATATATAGTAAATACACAAAGGAAAACAAGAAAGAAATCTAACTATAACACTAAAGAAAACCACCAATACACAAGGAAAGAGATAAAAAGAAAGAGAAAAAAACATAAAACAACAAAATGGCAATAAGTACAGACCCATCAATAATTACTTTAAATGTAAATAAACTAAAGCAGCCAATCAAAAGACAGAGTGTCAGAATGGGTAAAAAACAAGACCCATTTATTTACCGCCTATAAGAGACTCATTTCATAAGAAAGGACACACACAGACAGAAAGTGAAGGAATGGAAAAATATATTCCATGCAAATGGAAATGAAAAGAAAGCTGGAGTAGCTATACTCATATTAGACAAAAATAGACTTTAAAACAAAGACTGTAAGAAAAGACAAAGAAGAGTATTACATGATGATAAACAGGTCAATCCAGCAGGAAGATACAACATTTATAAATGTATATGCACCCAACAGAGGAGCACCAAGATATAAAAGCAAATATTAATGGACTTAAAGGGAGAATTTGAAAGCAATGCAATAATAGTAGGGGACTTTAACACCCTACTTACATCAGTGGATACACCATCCAGACAAAAAAATCAATAAGGAAACATCAAATTTAAACAACACATTGGACCAGAGGGACTTAATAGCTATAGAGCATTCCATCCAAAAGCAGGAGAATATGCATTCTTCTTAAGTACACATGAAACATTTTCCTGGATAGATCACATGTTAGGTCGCAAAATGAGTCTCAATAAATTCAAGAAAAATCTTCTCCAACCATAATGGTATGAAACTAGAAATCTTTCATGAGAAAAAAAAAAAGGAAAAAACCACAAAAATGTGGATATTAAAAATATGTTACTGAACTACCAAGGGGTCTTTGGAGAAATCAAAAAAATACCTACAGACAAATGAAAACAGAAATATGACATAACCAAATCTATGGGATGCAGCAAAAATTGTTCTAAGAGGGAAATTCATAATAATGAAACAACAACAAAAAAATCCCAAATAAACAATCTAACTTTACACCTAAAGAATCTAGAAAAAGAAGAATGAGTGAAGACCACAATTAGCAGAAGGAAGGGAATAATAAAGATCAGATGGAAATAAATGAAAGCGAGACTAAAAAAATATAGGAAAGATAAATGAAACTAAGAGCTGGTAATTTGAAATGATAAATTCAACAAAACTTTAGCTAGACTAACCAAGCGAAAAAGAGAGGACTCAAATAAATAAAATCATACATGAAAGAGAAGTTACAAATGTAACCACATAAATATGAAGGATCAAATGAGACTACTACAAATAATTATATGCCAACAGTGTGACAACCTAAAAGAAATGGATAAATTCCTAGAAACATAAAATCTTCCAAGACTGAATCATGAAGAAATAGAAAATCTGAACAGAGCAATTACTAGTAAGGAGATTGAAACAGGAATCAAAAATCTCACAACAAACAAAAGCCGAGGACAAGATGGCTTCACTGGCAAACTCTACAAAACACCCAAAGAAGATTTAATACCTATTCTTCTCTCGAAGTTAACACAAAATGTTCACAGATGACTTAATACTTTTCTTCCAAAAAAATTGAGGACTAGGGAAACCTTCCAAAGCACTTTACAAAGCCAGCATTACCCTGATATTAAAACCAGACAAGGACACCACAAAAAAAGAAATTTGTATGCCACTATCACTAATAACCACAGATACAAACCTCAATGAACTATTAGCAAATAAAATCCAACAATACGTTAAAAATTGTACATCATGATCAAGTGTGATTTATTCCAGGGAAGTAAGGATGATTCAACATCTATAAAACAATCCATGTGATACATCCCATTAACAAAATGAAGGATCAAAATCATATGATCATCTCAACAGATGCAGAAAAAGCATTTGACAAAATACAACCCTCATTTAACTGTCAATAAAGTGGGTATAGAGGGAATATACCTCAACATAGTAAAGGCCATATATGACAATTTCACAGATAATAACATACTCAATGATGAAAAACTGACAGCTTTTCCTCTAAAATCAGGAATAAGACAAGGATGCCCACTCTTGCCACTTTTATTCAACATAGTATTGAAACTCCTAGCCACAGCAATTAGGCAAGAAAAGAAATAAAAGACACTCAAATCTGGACACAGAAATAAAACTGTCACTATTTGCAGATGACATTATATTATATATAGAAAACACTGAATACCCCACCAAAAAGATGTGAGAACTAATAAATAAATTCAGTAAAGCTACAGGATACAAAATCAAGATACAGAAATCTGTGACATTTCTATACACTAATAACAAACTATCAGAAAGAGAAGTTAAGAATCCCATTTACAATTACATCAAAAGAATAAAATAACTAGGAATAAATTTAACCAAGTAGGTGAAGTATTTGCGCACTGAAAACTGTAAGACACTGATGAAACAAAAAGACATATAAATGAAAAAATATTCTGTGCTCATGGATTGGAATAATTAATATTGTTAAGATGTCCATATTACATAAAGCAATCTACAGCTTCAATGCAATTTCTATCAAAATTCCAAAGACTTATTTCACAGAAATAATTTTAAAATTTCCATGAAACACAAAAAACCCTGAATAGCCAAAACAAACTTGAGAAAGAAGGACAAAACTGGAGGTATCATGCGTCCTGATTTCGAACTATACTACCAAGCTATGGCAGTCAAAATAGTATGGTACTGGCACAAAAACATACACAGACATCAATGGAACAAAACTGAGAACCTAGAAATAAACCCATACATATATGGACAATTAAGTTACAACAAAGGAGCAAAGAACATACAATGGGGAAAGGATAGTCTCTTTCATAAATGGTGTTGGGAAAACTGAACACCCACATGCAGAAGAATGAAACTAGACCACTTCTTACACCATACACAAAAATTAACTCAAAATGCATTAAGGATTTGAATGTAAGACCTGAAACCATACAATTCCTTAGAGAAAATGTTCGTGGTAATCTCACTGACATCAGTCTTAACAATATTTTTTTGTGGATCTGACTCTAAAAGCAAAGGAAACAAAAGCAAAAATAAACAAATGGGACAATGTTAAACTAAAAAGATACTGCATGTGAAGGAAACCATCATCAAAATGAAAAGGCAACCTACTGAATGAGAGAAGATTTTTGCAAACCATATATCTGACAAGGGGTTAATATCCAAAATATATAAAGGACCCATACAACACAACAATAAAAAACTAAACAAACCAATTCAAAAAATGGGCAGAGAGTCTGAATAGACATTATTCCAAAGAAAACATACATAATATTAGAGGATGCTGGGATAAAGATATAAGGATTCTATACATACTATATTTGCAACATTTTTGTGAGTTGAAATTGTTTTGAAATAAAAAATTAAATTAATTAAAAAAAAAATTCTTAGATTCTCAAGACACTGGCCAGCACTTTGCTAGATATGACTGAATTCTACTTTTATTAAATGACCTGAACCAAAAATATATAAAGAGTAACTGTTGCCAACGGGGCAACTTACCACTTAAGCAGAGTATTCATAAAGTATCTGCTTTTCAGTAGCATTGCAGACCATTGATTTACCATACAGAGTTAGCTGCCATGTACAACCTCCTGATGCTGAGGCATTACAACCCAAGGCAATTAGAGCATTTGCAAATGAGAGAGCTTAACTGATATTTTTGGTGATGCCTGAGAACTGTAGATGGATACCTACTAATTTTAATTTCAAAATTGTAATTAAGAGAGAGCGGACTGTACAAAGTACAGATTCTTACATGGATTATTTTAAAAGACAAAGCACTACTCAGTAGACCAACAAAATTCATAAATTATAGTCATATTTGACTGAGTTTACTTCCTTCTTGGAAAAAGTTATTAATTGGTAATGTTAATATATATAAAGGACAGTTAGACTTAAGTAAGATATTATTAGTCTTTTGTAATATCTTGTTGAAAACAAGGAAAAATATTGATGGAACACATGGATAATTACATGAAATTTTTGTTAGCTTAATTCCTGACTCAAGTATCATGGTTAATGGGTTAGTATCACAATGGAAGGAGGTCCAAAGAGCTTTTCCTCTGCCAAGTCTGTTTAAAAAGAATATTTGTCAATGACACATTAGACCGAGAATCAATGGTACAGTGAGCACCTGCCAAAATCACAGTTGTTTTTATCTTTGCCACATGATTCCCACTATAATGAACACAGCTTGTTGGGAAAGAAAAGGATGTTTGATGCAAAATGACCATGTCTATGCTGCCAGTGGCTAGACAAACCAATGAGATCCCTTCTTTTAGGGAGCCAGACAATTTGATTGTGTCAACTCCATTCCTTTCCAGCATCATTTCCCAATGTTTTAGTCACCTGACTTGAGCATGTGTACCCCTCGACTCTGGACTTAAATTTGTAACAACTCCAAAGCAGCAGACATTTCATACTTCTAGGTGTGTGCACATGCTTTCCACCTACATGGAGTACTCGTCCCACATGGTGTTAATTTATCTTATCAGTCAATCAATAATAACACATAAAATGTTTTCTCTTGTTATTGAGACAAAAATGTATTGCAGGCTTTTTAGCAAGTTTTATTCCAACAAATGGGTAGTCTACAATTTTGGGAAGATAAAACATTCACTTTTAAAAATATGGAGTGCTAAGAATTCTTCAACTTTACTATCCTTTGATTACTTTAGGTAGAGTGTACTTATAAATTACAACCTTGTAGTGTTTACAAGAATAATAAAAGATTAATAATGAACTTACCAATACTTGGATAACCAGGTGTAGAAGGGTCTCCTCCTGGATTCAGTGACACCATAAATGTATCATAGCTAAGAGTTGCAGTCTTTGGTAAATCACAAGGATCAATATACAGAAGAACACCTCCAAATCCAGCCTTTTCCAATAAGGAAAGCTAAAAGAGGAGAACAAATTATTAAAAATGTCCTCATATACATTTTTAGTTCATATATGGACACTTCATAAATGTCACTACAATTAGATGACTCCTTTTTCTGTTATTGTTTTCTTTTTAAATAAGTAGAAACTTCCGATTTTCTCATTATCAAAGCCCAGACAGAGTTATCCTACTGGCCTCTTCCTTTTTCCTCTGTTCAACAATATTTAAGCTGCATTCTTATAATGTTTATATTTGATTTCAGTTGTCTGCATTTGGAATTTCTTCATTTTTTAATTGTCCAAGTAGATTTGGAAGTTTTCACTTTCATGAGATTAACAAAAAATCTACCACAAAGTTCCATTGTAAAAGGAGAGCTGTTCTGACCATTATTATATTCTTCCCTAGAGCAGAAGACATCCAACAGCATTTTGATTTATTTTCTCCAAGGCTGAGACTGCCACACCAGTTGTTAAAATGTTGAAATCTTTCACATGGTTTGGCAAACAGCCACTGTCCTGAAGCTCCTGAGGGCCCCCACTAGTCACTCTGGTCTCTGCCCTGGATGTCCCAGTCAGACCTCTAAGATAGAGCAACTAATGGGTATATACACAACAAAGTAGTGGGCCTCCTTCTAAATGGTCAGTTCCTGCTTTGTCTCTGTCATTAAATACTTTGAAAATATCCCAATTACCTCTATGAACATACTTAATGCAAAGGTTCCGCTCTGTTCTTAAGTACACAATAGAGAAGTATGATGGGGCAGATGAACTTGACATCCCAGGTTCTCTTTGTTTTAACTTATTAAATTAATTTTGGTGGGTAAAGATCTTATTCATCTTAGTGTGACTTACATGATTGATATAAGTCACAATCTTGATATAAGTATGCTATGTTAATTGCATCTTTTCAACTCCTTTAAAACTGTTCTGTATTTTTCCATTTTTAAACAAGTAATGAACAAGTATGGATTTTTATAATAAGAAAAAAAAAAACCCAACACTGAGAACCTAAGCTAAGTATAATGGACTCACATGTATACCTTCTATAAGAAAGCACTCTGATCAGACTTCTTTTTTTTCCCCATCAATGTCTTAATGAAGATAGGGAAAAAATTCAGGGAGAGAGGAGGAATGAGAGACAGAAAAAGAGAGAAAATAATATGTGAATAAAGGGTGAGATTTAAGACTGATGCTCCAAATGCAGGACTGAAGTCCTTAGGGAGGATTTCTAATGTTTGGATGCTGAAATTGCTATTCTCAAAAAGAATGATCAATGGAATGATTTTCAATGTTCTGCTTACTATAGGAGAATATATCAAGAAAATAAAATGAACTTCTCTAGAAAGCAATTTTTTAAATATTAAAAATTTCTTTTTTTATTACTAAAGCAATTTGTGATCATTAGCAAGAAAGATATACATGTCAACAAAACAAAGCAAAACAAAAAAGCAAAAGGCAATCCCATTATCTTACCTGTCAAGAGGTTGCAAATGTTAACATGTTGGTGTTTCTAGATCCTTTTACTGGGGCTTATGCACATTCACACATATATTTACAAATAAATCTATGATAAATACTATTTTGCAATCTTTATTTTTCACTTAACAGTATATACTAAACATTTGTCCATGTTGATAGGTATACTTTTGTATCATTTTAATAGCTGTATACTGTATATGAGTGATATAAATAATATTATATAAAAAGGCCATCAAATGTTATGTAACCAACCCCTGACTGTTAATCAAATTATTCAAAAATTTTTTATATTACATTGGAACAAAATTCCTTATATCTAAATCATTGCACAAATATCTATTTTAATCAAGTGTAGTTTCACAGGTCGAATTTCTAAGTCAAAGTATTCCTGTTCTTATGATTTTCTTTTTGTAAACTAATTTCCATTTAGAAAAGCTATAAAAAGTTATATTCTTACCTGTAGTATATGTATTTGTTTCCCCTCATTATCACCAACATTGAATATTATTACTTTTCAAAAGATATTTGTCAATCTGGCCAAAATTTATTTCTCCAAAGATCTTTAATTATTAATGAAGTTAAATTTATTTTTGCTTGTGATTTTGGCAACTGTATATTTTCTTCTGAGAATTACCTGCTTGTGAAAAACTATTTTTACAATTCCTGGGCCATGTATCCATTTGTAACTATATAATGAGTGTTGCTGTTATGCAGGTAATATGCTGGCATTGGGATATGAAGGTAAGTAGGACAAGGTCTTTGCTCTTAGGAAGTTGAGTTTACCAGTGGAATGACGAACAGTTTTCAACTTGAGTACTAACTCCAATTAACTGACAATGAATGGACGCCGGGAGAAGGATTGTGAGGCTAGGTTCAGGGTCAGTGGAAAGTGAATCTATGAGAGATCACTGCTTTGGACAAAGAAAGGGAAGTGATAACCAACAAATTTTTTTTTTTTTAAATGTGCTGATACTGCTTTAGTGGAAGTCAAAATAGCTTCAAAAGTGTCTTCTAAAAAGGTAAATATGATAATTTATTTAGTGTTTATGAAACCCAGTGATTAAATTTATCTTAGTCAAAAATAAAATGCTAAAGTTGCATATTTTGTCTCTTCTGATTATATTTGGAAATATGTTGAGATCCCTTTTATAAGGAATATGTACCATGATATGTTTCTATACCTAACTTGTCTCTTCTGATTATATTTGGTAATATGTTGAGATCCCTTTTATAAGGAATATGTACCATGATATGTTTCTATACCTAACGGCTGATAATGAAGCAATGTGGTTTAATAGAATACTATCTTTGGCCAGACTTGATTACCTCCCTACACCTCATAAGAGACAGCTTTATATGTGAGCTGACCCCCTCTTCCCATCCTCTGCCTATAACAGTTGGACCTGAGGTGGACACCTCTTCAACATTGTCAAATCTGGTTCCTGATGCCACCCCACACTGACCATCATAGAGCTCTTAAATAAGTAGTTTAATTCAGTGACTCAGTTTCGGGAATTGTCTATTGCCAATGACACTGGCAACAGAAGAAACTGCTTGCATGACATCAAATTTTAAAAATGTTCCTTTGCATTGTTAACATTGCATTTTGAACTTGATGAGGTGGAGGTTGCCTAAAATGCTCAAAAGACCTTGTATTCTGGTGAGATGACATTTTTTAAAATACTTCCAAAGGCAAGCCAAGGCCAAAAGGATGAAACCAGCTGTCCTTGGGCTGTCTGATTGCAGACTGTCCCTGGGTACACAGGTGAAAGTTATTAGCTCTGCCTAGGACCTCTTACAGCTTGAGACCTAGATTGACGATTATACTAGGGGTCTAATACATGAAAAGAGATGGCAAATGTAAGGCCAGATTCCCTATATTAAACTTCAACTGCCCTTTGCTTCTCTTTCTCAAGTATATATCTGATAAATTTGGGGTTCTTTGTCATACTTACCACCTTGTAAACAAAGACAACATTTGATACAAGTAGGACCAATCAGGACTTGGAATGGAGACACCAAAAATGAGTCAGGCAGATGGTGTTGGGCCTGAGTGTTGTGTGCTCACGGAGAAGCAGGCCACAGCCACTGGCTAGTGTGGTGCACTGACCCACAAGGCTGTATTGCCCTGGAGGGGCACCATTTCCTAATTCACACAAAGCACCATATGAGCAACTGGCTTCTCTGTTCAGAATCAATTTTCTGACATGTGCAAACTAGTCTTTTCAGAATGTAGAAACCATGAGCCTTGCCAAGGAAAGTGGCAACTAAAAAGGAGTGGGAATTCAGAGGAAACAAAGATGAGAATGGGCAAGAGAGGGAATGGCACGTACAGACCTCAAGTCCAGCTATGTGCCTTTCACTTGTATTGAGTGAGATTCTCCTCCCTTTCTCTGAGGGTGCTTCGGTTATTTGCAAATAAATCAATCCATAACCAAGACAAATGAAAAAGCATGAGACTTTTCATTTGATGGTACTGGATTTTGGTACCAACCCTGACACTAAATAGCTATGTGACAACTCATATAGTTTTTCCAGGTCTTTGTTTCACCATCCATAAAATGCAAGGATTGAACAACGTTAGCCTCAAAGACCCATTCTGTTCTCAATTAAAAACACATGTAGTCTAATTCTATGATTTTAAAATTGTTTAAGGAGACATTTATTGTACTTTTAAATATATTGTCACATGTGAAATTTGCTTTTAAACTATTGGCAGGGATACCCTCCCTCAAAATAACACACTTTCTATGATTAATAAAGATTTTTCAGGTAGTTTTTACGATATGATTTCATATAATATATAGTATGAATATTTTAATTTTGCATTAAACTTCTGTTAGGGACAGAATATAGGGGAAACAAAAACACTTAGAATCTGTACATTGAAACTATTCTGAGTTACTGAATTGATTCTTCCTTTTCAGTATAAATTCAGTACTAATTTAAATATAGTACACTGTGAAGTGTTAATTTCATCTTTCAAAACTATTTTACAGTGTTTATACCCCAAAACATATATGACAATTGTAATAAATCACGCAGTTAAATGAATAATATTTCAATGCAGCTATCAACCTTCTGTCTAAATTGGAAATATTTCTACTCTACTTTAATAAGTACTTCAACTAATATTTTATTTCTAGGAGAGAAGTTAAATATTGCATAAATTTACTGACTATGTTTATTCAAAATGTCCACCAGTGATAATTACTAGTCTCCACATATCTAAGGATTGCTCCTCCTCTTCAAAAAAAAATCATATTATGTTTCCATGAACATAGGAACCATTAAAACAGCATCCTACTCACATGCCTCCCACCCTCTTTTGTTTAACTCAAAGAACCACTAAGTGCTGAGCCAACATAATTCTTAAGTTTTTATGGGTGCTAAAATCTCAATAGGCATGAGGTATCTGAGATAGATGCTAGACTAGTAACCAAGAAATGGTCCTTAGTAACCCCAAGACACTTTTCTGTTTCTATACAGAGTCGTCAACTCCCTTCAAGCTATGTCATGGCTTCACATCACCTGAAA